ATAGTGAGTTCTTCATTTTGTAGGCCAATCTGAATCCTGCTCCCAGAGTCTAGGCGCCGGTCCATCTGACCGCTGCTCCGTGTTTCTCATCGGTAGTCCATCTGACTCCTGCTCCAAGAGTCTAGGTGCCGGTCCATCTGACCGCTGCTCCGTGTGTCTCATCGGCAGTCCATCTGACTCCTGCTCCCAGAGTCTAGGTGCCGGTCCATCTGACCGCTGCTCCGTGTGTCTCATCGGTAGTCCATCTGACTCCTGCTCCAAGAGTCTAGGCGCCGGTCCATCTGACCTCTGCTCCTGGTGTTCCATCGGCAGTCCATCTGACTCCTGCTCCAAGAGTCTAGGTGCCGGTCCATCTGACCGCTGCTCCGTGTGTCTCATCGGTAGTCCATCTGACTCCTGCTCCCAGAGTCTAGGCGCCGGTCCATCTGACCGCTGCTCCGTGTGTCTCATCGGTAGTCCATCTGACTCCTGCTCCCAGATTCTAGGCGCCGGTCCATCTGACCTCTGCTCCTGGTGTTCCATCGGCAGTCCATCTGACTCCTGCTCCAAGAGTCTAGGTGCCGGTCCATCTGACCTCTGCTCCTGGTGTTCCATCGGTAGTCCATTTGACTCCTGCTCCCAGAGTCTAGGCGCCGGTCCATCCGACCTCTGCTCCTGGTGTTCCATCGGTAGTCCATCTGACTCCTTCTCCCAGAGTCTAGGTTTCGTCCGTCTGACCTCTGCTCCTGGTGTTCCATCAGCAGAGTAGATGTGGCGATCCTGCTGACCTCTGCTCCTCCTTTTTCATTGGTGGCCCAACTAGATCTGTGGTTATGGGTCACCTGCTGCTCCCATGTTTCTGCTCAACATCTGCTGCTGCTATTAAACATATTGTTATTATCATTAATGTTACAATAATTATCCAACCTCTGCTCACTCCCAAGTCATCACATATGGACGCAAGACCCCATAGCATCATAGTTCAACAGACAGACTAGTTACTTATCTAACTCGTGAAGTTGTGTAGAGGTGTAGTTTAACCCAAACCATAACCTCTTTCTAAACCTAAGCAAGTTATGACATTTCACAACATTAGACATGAGTTTTATTTTGAAATTCTAACGTTGTTGCATATTTATTATTGCTAACTTGATGGTGAAGCCCTCAAAAATGATGCTAAAGGGGTCTTGACCAAGTGGCCATATGTTAGGAGTTGCAAGTGAAGAATGAAAGTACAGTTATTAATTTTCTGTATGTGCAACTTCTGTTGGGCTGCCTATCTCTCTGTCACTCTTCCTCCGGTCGAGGCACATGGCTGCACAACCTAAATCCAGGTTCTGCTCATGGTTTCTGCCTCTTAAAGGGAGTTTTTCCTTGCCAGCGGGGCCAAGTGCTGCTCATGGTAGCAACTGTTGGGTCTATGTTAATAATATTGTATACACTGTATGTATAACATTGAATTGAATTAGATTAATATAACATATTTGGTTGTAAGGAGGACAGCAGTCCTTCTCTGCTCCTCACCACTTCAGACTCTCCTTCTCCTTACCTGCCCTGCAGGTGTTGCTCTTGAAGCATTATAGATTAGGTAATGGAATATTTCCACCAATTACTATTTGTTATATTTTAGTCTCCCTGTTGCCTCTGTACATAGTATACTATGTGTGTGTATATATATATATATATATATACACACAGTGTAAGTATACATAGTACTGTGTGTATATATACACTGTGTATACAGAGGCGAGACACAGTGCAGTAGAATGAACATGATGTAGATTAATGCTGCAGCCTTCACAATCACCTGATCTCAGTTTCACACCTACAACCTGAGAGATGACGCTCTGCAGCAGAACCTCCACAAGTCCAGGTGATCTAAACTCTGTCTCTGTCTCTCTACCTGCCTGCCTCTCTCTCTCTCTCTCTCTGCCTGTCGGCCCTCAGGATGGACTGTAACAGCCTCCTTTCTAGCGCCACCATCAGGTCTACATGTTAATGTGTCCAACAATTTATGTCCAGATGCAAGTTTCCCATCAGCCTCAGCTAAGGTTAGCATGCTAACATGTTAATGGTCAGACCTGGGGACCCTGCAGAGTCCATCATGTAATCAGCTTTAACCCTTTCACTGTCTTCATGTTTCCTGTCTGAGTGTGTGTACCCACTGTGTGTGTTGTGTGTGGATGTGTGTGTTGTGTATTTACCAATGCGATGGAGACCCTCTCCTCCAGCTCAGCCGGGTCGGGCATCGGGAGTCGAACCGGGGCGGCTCTGGACCGGATCACCGCCAGCTGGCTTTCCATGCTCTCTGCGTTCCCCATCACACACACCGAACACACACCAAAGACACAGCGAACACACCCACCCACCCACAGCAGCACACACACACACACACACACACACACACTCAGCAGACACACAGCAGCAGGAACATGTGGTCGGCCATCACACGCTGAACACAGACGGGCGGCGAGCGGGGAAGGCCTTTCTGTCCTCCTGTCTGCCCTCCTGTCTGTCTCCTCTTCTCTGTCTCTCGTCAGACGGTGAGGATTGTCTCCCTCCCCTCTCTCTCTCGCTCTCTCTCTCTTTCTCTCTGTCTGTCTCTTTGTCTCTCGTCTTCGCTGCTGCTGCTGATCCT